TTAAATAGATCAGCTATTTATGGACAACAAAGAGTGTTGCGAGTGTTACTCCTATTTATTCTTGCCTGGTCATACATCTTGTGTGTGGTGGAAAATGTCCTCTTAGAATTATCCAGTAAGACTCCATTTAGATGATCCCTATTTTGTTAGCAATATCCAAAGGCATCATTATCAGGAATGAGTGGAATATATGCTTTCTTCTCCCCACTAGGCCTCACAGTGTCACAGAGCTTCTTCACAGCCTGTTTGATTTGTCCTTGCTGACCTTGACATCCACTATGAGTACAAGTGTCTTGTTTTCCATCTACTTCACAGCAGACTCGGTGGTCAGGGGAACTTGATGGCATAGTGGTCAAGCTTGTTTCTCCCAGGGGCACTCTTCTGGGGGTATTTGAGCTGCCTCCAGAACTGCTGTCTCAGGGAACTGGAGGGTGGGTAACATGTGGGTCTTCTTTTTATTGTGTGGCTGTGTACTCCTTTTATCATTGTCTTCTTGGCCTTCAAAGCCTTGGCTTTGGTTTTGGGAAAGAGAAGAACTTCCTTTTTTTTTTTTTTCTTTCTGCAACATCTTGGAGAAAAGGCTGCTTGTACTTTTTTTTTCTTTTTTTGGTGGGGATGCACTGAATATGGAACCCAGGGACCCTTTACCATTAAGCTATTTCCTCGGCCCTTTTTATTTTGAGACAGAGTCTCACTTAGTTGGTGAGGGCCTTCCTAAATTGGCATTGGACTTATGATCCTCCTGTGTCAGGCCCTGAATCCACTGAAATTATAGGCCGGCCCCACTGTTCCTGGTGGCTGGTTGTGCATCTTTACATTGATGTTTTTCATCTCTTTCAGGGATGAAATCTTTCACTTTTCTCTTTTGGTATCAGGGGTTGAACCCAAAGGCACTTTACCACGGAGCCACATCTCCAGCCTTCCCCAGCTTTTTAAAATATTTTTTTAGTTATAGGTGGACACAATACATTTATTTTTTTATTCATTTATTTTATGTGGTGCTAAGGGTTAAACCCAGTGCCTCACACGTGAGAGGCAAGTGCTCTGCCAATGAGCCACAATCCCAGCCCTCCCCAGGCACTTTTTATATTTTATTTAGAGACAGGGTCTTGCTCAGTTGTTTAGGATCTCACTAAGCTGCTTTGAACTTGCAATCCTCCTGTCTCATCCTCCCCAGGGGCTGGGAATACAGGTGTGCACCACTACCCTGGCTAATGTTGCAAATTTTTGAAAAATTTTATTTTCCTCTTTCCTTCTAATTCCTTAGGAATGAGTATTTGTGTAATTGAATAAAATTCAACCCTAATTCCCAGTAAACTTTTAAGCTCTCTCTCTTTGGTGGAACTCTGGGGTTGGTGCATGTTAAGCAAATATCAAGATCAATATTAGGTTCAGTTTCTTTGTAAATCTTTAGATTAGGATTATAGAGTCTGATATTGATAGCTGGGAGACCTATTTATAATTCAAGGTTGGTTTCTAACTGGCTGTGTAGTCTTGGGCAAGCCACATAACCTCTCTGGATCTTCACTTTCTTATATGTAAAGTGAGTGGATTGATCTCAGATATTGTCATAGGTCTCTTCTACTTCTCTCACTACACAGGTGGAAAAAATATTTTTGTGAAGTTCTGTTAGTGACAAACTTAGAACATTCTCTCCTTTTCTCCTGAAAATACTGCCCTCCTCCATCATACTGCCATCTCTTGAGACAGAACTTCCTTCTTTCCAGAAATGTAATTTGATTGTACAGTGCCATGAACCCTAAGACAAGAGCAGGGACCACTCTTCAAAAAGCACACTTAAGACATAAATGTGACATAGGTCTCACTTTTTTTTGTGATAAAATCCTTTGAAAATCTGTTGAAAGCTAGGGACAAACTCACAGAGAAACACACACAAGCATATATACATAAAACTTCAAGGAACTCCTGGACCCTTGGAAGTCCATCCGTGCACTCCCTAAGAATCCATGAATCTTTGGCTAACAGACCTTTATTGGGGACATTAAAAGGGATCCGTGGAGTTTAATTAAAAAAAAAAAAGTTTCCTTCCTACTGGAAAAGAAAACTGCTAAATTAAAAGGGTAATATTTTAGATTTTTATTAAAACTCTTCAAAACTATTATGTTTACTTGCCAATATCGTCTTTATAAATCACATACTAACCTGCTTAAATCTTTTAGAACAGAATTCAAATTTCTCTCCATGCTCCTCTATCAGGCTTTACATAATCTGACTCCTGCCCACTTTCATTTTATACATTTGAGCCCCACTGGCCTACCTTTGGCTTTAGGAATGCACCAATTCTGCAGGTCACTCTGTCTCTTGTGAAGGGTCTTTGAGTGATCTTTTTCCTCACTGAGACCACTTCACTGATTGCTACCCTTCAGGCCCCAGTTCAAATGTCCCTCCTTATTTAAACTTCCCCAACCACCTTCACCCTACTCTCAGCCACACCAGCCAGTTTCTTCCTTAGGTAGTTGATCTTGTCACAGTTCTGGTCATTGATTTTTGTGTAATTGCTTATTGTCTTCTCTCACCACTAGAATGTAAATTCCACAAAGGAAAGGGCCTCCCTTGACTTATTTATAACCACATTCCCAGAGCTAGCTATGTACCAGACACACACAGGTGGTAGCCATTCAGTCACTGTTTGTGTTAAATGAATAAGTAAATCTCAGCCATGGGTGGATTAAGAGTTTAAGAGGGTCTAGATACTAAATATTATGGGCTGGGGTTGTAGCTTAGTGGCAGAGTGCTTTCCTAGCACACATGAGCCAGTGAGTTCTATCCTCAGCACCAAATAAAAATAAATAAATAAAGGTATTGTGTCCATCTACAACTAAAAAAAAAAATTTAAAAAGAACAAAAAGAAATGTACTTTTCATTAAAGTAAACTTGTTCCATGTTTTCCCTTTAACTCGCTGGACTAATATTTTTCCTAACATTCAAATACCTCTATAATGTGTCTCTGAATGTCTTTGACTTCATAACTAATTGCTAGTACCAGTTTCTTCTACTACTGGAGGGTCTATTCCTCTCTCATGTGAACATAACTTATTCATTCCACATCCATGACTTTACTCATGCCATTTCCCTGGTAGAGCAGTTCTTTCATCCCCCTCCCCTCCTTCACCACAAGTCTTAATTATCTCTCAAGGAATGGGTCAAAGCTCTTTATAAGATATCTTCCCTTAAAAACCCTTCATTATTACCTTTTTCCTCTGGACTCTTTTAATTATTATTGAATGCCACTTAATCATTGATTTAGTTTTTTAAATTTAGTTTTTAATTAGCTTTAATCTTTTTTTCCCTATAGAATATGCACTTCCAGAATTGCTATCATAGCAAAACATACATGGAAGACACTTCAATTTAACTCTATAAATTAGGAAGTGGGGGGAGTTTTAAGATGTGTCACTTAGAGCAAGGCTATTGGTGCTTTGGCATATAAAGCATATTATACCATAAAATTTCCTTTCATCCAGGCAAGATCCATGCTCTCCATCTCTAGTATGAGGACTATCTTTTCCTTCCTTCCTAAAAATTCCAACACTGCCAAACCAAGCAGATTTGAGACGCATATCCTTTCCAACTACCCACTTTAACTGCTCTAAAAAAGCAGCTTTATGGTTAGTAGATTTTTAGGGTTTACTTGTAGAACAGAAGTAATCCCCGTGAAGCTGCAGTAACATCTCCTGTCCACCAGAGGACAGGGAGCAAGAAGTTGGAGAGAGAGCTTCCCCTCCGCAGAAGTCGCAGGTCAAAAGCACTGCCTGAAAGTTGGGTCTGCAACTGTGGTCTTCAGGTTTCACCTACAGCCTGACCTGAAAGTGTCCAGCTGTCTCCTTTTCCTTCTCTAAAAGGTGAGCAGGAAGTACCCAGGAACTTACTCCCTAATGCTAACCTTAAATGACTACCAGTCACAGTGAATACACTTTTGTTGCAGGATTTAGAGGCAGAAAAGTAGTAACAGAGATGTATTATCTTTCCAACCCAAACCTGCTTTTTAGTTCTTTTGCCAATTAAAAAACTCACTTAAGCAATGTCCACATAAATATCCTGCAACAAACAGTGCCTTGAGGGGCCAGTGTCCCTACTCTGGGACATTGCCAACGGAAGGTTTTAAGAGCTAGATTATTCCTACACATAAATTCTGGCTCATGGAGCAGTCCACTCACAGTGTGCTTTTCCGTCATTAATCACATCTCTGTTATGTGATATCCACGTGAGTCCTTCTCAGTAGAAGCAGCTTCATGCTCAAATGCTCAAAGCACACTGGAATAAAGCTTTGATTGTCCTATTCAGTGATTCCAAGTCCTGATTTGTCACCACCTCAAGTCTCTAGTTTTCCAAAGCCTATGTAATGTCTCAAAACAAAGCTATTGTAATGAGTTCAAATTTTAAAAAGCATGAGGTACCTGGAGTTAAATCCACAGAGGTCTTGCACCACCCAAGAAAGCAGAGAATCCCTTATGTGATTTAAAGATGATTCTGTGCGGCCCGATATATAAAATATATTTAAGGAGAATTTTAGGATACTTTTACTTATTATATTGCAAATATAAGCAAAGTAAAATAATTTAGGAGTATTCATGCGGGGGCTTTTAATGACAGCATACAGATAGTTCAGTGCCTGACAACACTACTGTGCAGTTTTTTAAGTACCTACCTGTAACTTTTTAATGCAGGGCACTGCAGTTTGGATTCGGATTTAAAAAAAAAAAAACCTATTGTAATTCTCTCAAATTATCGTTTGCGTTTCTTAGTGAGGCAGCTGAAAACAATCTGAGGAGGAGGAAAAAGTTCTGCGTTCCGGTGGGGGAAGCCTCCAGAACCTGTTGAGGCGCCGCGCTGGAGGGGGCGGGTAGGGACCTTAGCTCGGGGTCCGGGGACGCGAGCCCGGGGCAGCAGGCGCGCGGGCGCGGAAGGAGGAGGAGGCCGCGGGGCCGCTTCCGCGGGCAGCGGGGCTCCTCCCAGCAGCGCCTGCGGAACCTGCCTCCGAGTCGCCGAACTCTGGAAGGGAACGTGACCCGACCCCTCCCCGAGCTGCCGAAACGCGGCGTCCAGCCGAGCAGCGGGCTCGGGCGGCCGCGGGATGGGCGGGCGGACGAGCGCGCGGCCCCGCCCGGCGCCCACCGCCCTGCCCTCGCCTGTCTCCTCCTTTCCCCGGGGCTCCGCTGAGTTCATTCACTGGGATTGGTTTCAAGTGACGCCATCTCTTTATTTTTAAACCAATGACCTCATCCGCGCTTGAAGTTTCCTGACCAGCGACTCTTTCTCTTTTCCCCAACCCCCCACCCCACCCCCCCGCCTTTCCCCCTCTTTCTGTGTATCACTGTTTGGGGGGCTTTAATCAAATTTTAACGATTATTCTCACCTCTCCTTCCCCCCTCGGCTTTCCCCACGCGGCCCCCACCTTTACCTCCCCAAGTTCTTCACCCATTTCGACATTTGTTTTTGGAAGACTTGATTGGGGGGGGGGGTGGAAGAGAAAGAGTGAAGAAAAGTTGCAAACGTCTCCTCTTCCTAAGCCTCCCGCCCCCGCCCACCCCTCAGAGAAGGAGAAGATAATATAGTGAAAAGAAGAGGAGGAGGCGAGAGCGACGGGACGGGACGCAAGCGGGAGCGCAGCCGCCCTCCGGCTCCGCGGCGGCCCCTAGCTAGCCCGGGAGCCGAGGGCCCGGAGAGGAGACGCCGTGACAACTTTCGATTCCCTCAGAGGGAGTCGGGGGGTCGGTGGCCCCAGAAGTAAGTGGCCTCGGAGGGCGGCGCGGGGAGCGCGCGCGGGTCGGGAGGGTGCGGGGCAGCATGGACGCTCCGCGGCGCGCCCAGACCCCGTGTGCCGGGCGCAGCGCTCTCGCCCCGCCGGCCCAGCCTTAGCGACTCTGCGGTCTCTGGAGTCCCGGCCGCGCTCTGGGGGGGCGGGGTGGGGGCGACGGCAGCCGTTCAGAAGCGGGAGGTGCAGGCCTCGCCGGGAGGCCGGGCGGGAGGTGCGTGCGGGCTCGGGCCGGCCCCGCCGAGAGCGACTGCCGCCTGGGACGCGGCACCTTCGCGGGCGAAGCTGCTCACTTCCAGGCGCGAATGTTACACAACACGCCTGCCAAGTGGGGCCCCGGCCTGCCTCTTCCCATTATCCCGAATTCTCCTTTAGTGTAGGCAGAGAGGCCACCTGGGTGGTGATGTGCTGCTCCCTTAAACTCAGCCAACTAACAACACAAACAAGAACCCCTCAACTTTGCTGCTGGGGCTCGGTCATGGCGTTGGCGACTCCGGTGTTCCAGACTTCCTAATTTATACTAGCCATAAAACGTGAGAAAAAAAAAGCCCAGCCACGGCCGAGGATCTGTGTATCATGTGTTTCATGTGATAGAATACCACAGAGGAAAATATATATGCAAAACCTTAGTTTTCCGATGCTGCATTTATTTCCTAAAGGAAGCCGGTTATGAACCTGAGAAAATAGAGGTAGATCTTAAAATGAATGGATACTGCAAAATCCGAAGGAAGCTTATTAAATGTCGACTGCAAAGATCCTTGACTTTTTGAAGTCCTGGGTATCTCGGATTGTTTGGAGAAAGCACACCTCTAATCAGCCTATGATGAATAAGGTGGAGAGGAAAAACCTGTTGCATAATCTCATTTGCTGTGGGGCTTGCTGTTCCGTTCCCTTGAACCAAGGGGAAGTGAGTTAAGATGCAGGGTTTTAAAACTCTCTGAAGTTTTTATTTACCCAGTGCCGTGGCTGCCACTTTGCTTTAAAAGATTATAAGTAAATACTCTGCTCTTAAAAGTGAACCAAACCTATCAAACCTGTTTAGAAAATGACCAGGTATGTTTCTTTCTTGTCTTTCCGGGTGTGTGTGTGTGTGTGAGAGAGAGAGAGAGAGAGAGAGAGAGAGAGAGAGAGAGAGAGAGAATATTTACTATTCATGAAAGACCTTGGTGACTACCATTTGGGGATCTGAGAGTGTCAGATTTTTTTCTTTTTTTGCCATGCTATGATGCTGATAATACCTGTAGGTGACAGCTTTTTCCTTAAAAGTTACACTGTTTAATCTACATCAAGAAAAGAAACGTTAAAAGTAAGGTAAAAGAAGAAAGGACTATTTGCCAGTTGAGTTAATAATTTTTTAATTATTTACTTTTCCTTGGGAATCATATATTGATGGACACAGTTTGGGAAGCTGAAATTAATTAAAGCTTGTGGAATTCTTTATTTGGTGAAGGCAGAAGCCAAGAGAAGTAAATTGAAAAACTAAGACTTTATGACTTTATTTTATTCACAATGTGACTAGACACTGGGCAAGTTTTTGTCTTTGTTTAAAAATAAGCTGTGGAATTTACTGACTGAAGACATTGTGGAAAGTTGCTGTTTAATTTTTTTGTTAACATTTAGCAACTTATGTAAAAATTTGGGCCAAATAACCCCAGCTGAGTTCATTTTTAGGTAGGAAAAATAGAAGAGAGATTATTTTGAATCGTAGTAATGATGAATAAGTTGTTCAAATGCTATAAAACTATATTCAGATATGTGGAAAAAAGTGTAAATTGTGGTAACGATATTTAAATTTTTTTAAGTTTTAACTTCTGATATGTCAGCAATTCAAAGTAAAATATCTGATTTGGCTTAAAATTGTACTTATTTTATTCAAGTATTTCAGTTAGTGCATAATTATGGAAGGGGCAAGGAACAGAACTACAGAATCATCCACTTTTGCTCCCTCTTCATTTTGGGAAGTCTGTGTCCTTTGGCTTAGCTTGTTGAATGTAATTGAGTTCTATAAAATAGTCAATGTGGGGTTTTAAGTCTCTTTGGCTAAAAGCTTAATGGCATTAACAGAGAAGGGGGCAAAAGAGAAAATTCTGTTAACCCCATTCTTTTCCTTTTGCTTATCCACTCAAAAATTATTTGTGGCATGGTTGGGAGTAGAAGTGGAGCCAAGATCAGTGTTTAAGAGTAGTAGGTAGACTGGGGGTTTAGTGAGGCCCTGGGTTCAATCCTCAGTCTTCCCAACCTCTAAAAAATTGAGTAGATCTGAGAAGCTTTGGACTTTAGCCTGAGTTTAGGAGAAGGGACAGGATTCTTTATTTTTGTTTGTTATAGTGCTGGGATCAAACCCAGGGCCTTACACATGCTAGGCAAGCACTCTCCCACTGAGTGAGTGACATTCCCAGTGAAGAGGAAGGATTGATGTTTGTTTTGAAGCTATTTTCTATAAGTATGTATATTGAGGGATTTAATTTCTTTTTCTTTTTGGTACTGGGGATTGAACCCCAGGGGCACTTAACCACTGAGCCACATCTCAAGCTGTTTTTTGTATTTTATTTAGAGATAGGGTCTTGCTAAGTTGCTGAAGCTGGTTTTGAACTTGGAATCCTCCTGCCTCAGCCTCTTGAGTTACTGGGATTACTTGCATGTGCCATCATGCCTGGCCTGGTGAATTTATTTATTTATTTAAGAAAAATTTACATGTTTTTTTCTTCTATTTTTAATCTATTTATTTTTATGTGATGCTGAGGATTGAACTCGGTGCCTTGAATGTATGAGGCAAGTGCTCTACTGCTGAGCTATAGCCCCAGCCCCACTGGGGAATTTAAGTTAGTAGAGTTTTCAGATACGGGATTAATATGTTGATGATATGGATTTGTATACCTGTTCAGTATTAAAGTTTTTCTGTTTTCAACTAATCATAAAATCCTACTAAATATTTTTGCTAGAATTACCAGTGGAATTTACTTTAGAAATCCAAATTTTCTTGTAGTATCTGGTAGAAATAGTTTTCTGTCAAATATTACCTGCACTAAAAATTTCACTGGATTCAATGTTTTTAAAATGCTTTTGAGTTCTCATGCAAAAGGTACTTGTAAATTAATATAAACCCATTTGGATCAGGATACCAAGAAAAGTAGGAGATAAGTCAGGGGAAACAGAAAACAGATTTTATGAAAGATTTTAACAGATTGAAGGACCAAGTTAAAAACCATGATTGATGCCTGAATGGCCTTAAAAAAAAAAAAAAAAACTGCATCAAATTTTGAAACTGAGTCAGATATCCACCATCATAAAAGAAAATCTTTCTAATGTTGGCTTAACCAAAACTTAATTAAGAAAGTAAATCTTGCCCAAAGCTACATATGATGTATTCCAAAGCCAGATGTCATTTTTCCCCTGATTTTGTTGTTGTTGTGGATAATGTTATTATGATTCCTGAGACCAGATGATCAAGTTTTAGCTGTGTGAAGGGAGGTCCATAAAGATGTGTGGACTTAAAGAAACAGACTCAGTTAGAAATTTAATCAAATAAATGGAGGAAACAAGAGTGGCTCAAAAGGAGGACCTAAGGCAGATTACTGAGGATAGGTACAAAGAAATAAAAAGGCTTGCCAGGAGTATGACCAGGAAAAAAGGGAACTGAATATGTCTTTGCATGAAAGGAAATAGGCATAAATGGAAAAATACCTTCTGATACCTCAGCAACAAGAAGGGAGTAATGAAACGTCACCCCCTTCTAGATTAGGAATAGAAACTTCATTACAGGTATCACCCAAAATTCGTAAAATTTTTTATTACATAAAAAATTTATTCTTGGGGGGAGGGGCTGGGGTTGTGGCTCAGTGGTAGAGTGCTCGTCTTGCATGCATGAGACCCTGGGTTGGATCCTCAGCACCACGTAAAAAATAAATGAGTGAAATAAAGGTATTGTGAATAAAATTTAAAAAAATTATTCTTGGGGGAGCTGGGGTTGTAGCTCAGTGGTAGAGTGTTTGCCTAGCACGTGTGAGGCACTGGGTTCGATCCACAGCACCCACATATAAATAAATAAACAAAGGCATTGTGTCCATCTACAACCAAAATTTAAAAAAAAATTTTTTTAAAATTTTTTAAAAAATATTTATTTTTTTAGGTGTAGATGGACACAACACAATGCCTTTAATTTTATGTGGTGCTGAGGATCGAACCCGGGTCCTGCCCGTGCTAGGTGAGCACTCTACTGCTGAGCCACAATCCCAGCCCTAAAATTTTTTTTTTAAAATTTATTCTTGGTAGAGGGTGGTGGATAAAGTAAATTATGATCATGAAATATAATTATATGAGAATGTAAAACTTGGAATTTCCAGAGATAAATTCAAAATTTATTTTCATGTCCTATTTTGAGTTATTTGGAAAGGAGGGATGAATTATAAAAAGTTGAAATTATTATCTCAATTGGATTTCTGGGTTAACTACAGACATAAATTAAGCAAAACATTTATTGAAGGTACATAAAAGTTGGGGATACAGTTCTACTTTTAGAGCAGGATTAAAGAATTTTAAGTGAGGCATATATATGTGTGTGTGTGTGTGTATATATATATATATATACACACACACATATATATGTAAACAATTATCAGACTGCTGATAAATGTCACATTTATAAAGGAGAAAGAGATTGGAGGGTTGAGAAAGTAATCCTCAAAGTTGATAAAAAGAATGTTAACTTGTGTATGGAAGTTGAAAGAATGGTAATCACTTGAAAGAATGGTAATCACTTGAAAGAATGGTAATCATATGTATGGGAGAAGGGAAGTTATTCATCCACCTAATTATTTATCAAATTTATATTGACCCTCTACTGAGGTCTAGACACTGGCCAACAGAGGACTATGAGATAGAGAAGGTTACTGTCTTTATGGAACTTAGAGTCTTATGGGGAGAAGGCAATAGGACAATAAATAATGACAACAAGCCAGGCATGGTGGCTTAT